ATATTTATCTGGCGCAGTGTGGACGTTCTAATAAGTGGCACCGTCGTATTCTGTCTCTTCAACGTTGTGCATTCCACTTGTCTGTTTTACATTCTAAACTTCGTCGCATCGTTTTCCGTGCTGCTTTGAATTTCGTTTTCCGTCTGATCACGATCACTTCTCAAAATATCGAGTCTGACACAGACGGCTTATTCGAAATTACATAGCTTAAACTCGAACATAAATTCTGTAATGCACGCACATTAGATAAGACATATATTGTACATCGATAATAAACAATGGCTTGTCACGATAATATTAGATAAGATACAATCGAACGAGACGTGCCGATTTTTTTCTTTTGCAAATATTATTGCGCAGTTTTTTTTATTATAAATTGCAAATTGCTTTGTTATTATTGTATAGAAATATTTTATCGTTTGCCGCTATATGCACGTACCACCAGTTTGCTTGGAAATACGCTTTTGTAGAAATTTATTTTGGAATTGGGATATTATTTAAAATATAATACTGTTGCTAAAACATATGTATTCTACAAGATAGATCATTAGCGTAGCTAAGTTAGACAAATTCTTATTCTCCCTTTAGCTTGATATATATATTGTATTTTTTTCTTTCTGCGAATATTTAATGATAAACGTAAACTCTTCCGGAAATGAGTAATTTTCTCTTTATATAATGCGGGAACGAGTTAACGCGACGCAGGATGTTATTTGCATGCATCCTCGTGATTCTTCAGCATCGGGAAGAAGGGAGAAAGGGCGGAGAAAGAAGGGTTTATCTGCATTCCGATTATCCATACCAGATCGACGAGTCTGCCGTATGGAATGAAAAGAAACACACAGGACCGGTTTAAAGTCCCGCGTACAGAATAATCGGCATTCAATATTAATATAGTTGTAATCTGATGTTTGGCATTTTCGATGAGTAGAGATAAAATACATGTTTTGATGTATTTGTTACTTGATTAACAGTGTATCGTAGTCACCAGTAAAAATTAAAATTAAAACTTATTAAATTCATTAAAAAAACTACCAATACTGGACTAAAAAGATTTTTTTATTAATTTAATGCATGACGTTTCGACCTGTGTTTTAATGATAAAAATCTAAAACACAGGTCGAAACGTCATGAATTAAATTAATAAAAAATCTTTTTAGTCCAGTATTGGTCGTTTTTTATGAATTTAATAAGTTTTAAAATACATGTTGTTATCTCAGAGAAATTTCACGATTAAAACGAGTAGAGCATTTTTATCAAATCTTATTTTAATAATATTTCTTTTCGGCGAAAGGTTGATTAATCTATCTCGTCAATATGTAATTAAAACGTAATAAATAATCTAAAAATATTAGAGATATTATTCATCAGTATAATTTTATCTATGACACGTATATGAATCTTTCAGAAGCAATTTACAAAAAATTGAATGATCAGTTTGATTTCTAAAAGTAATAGCAGGCAGGAAAATTAACAAATTTCTGAAATTCGTAAAATAAAAAGGAAAGATATTTATATATTATTAGATTAAATTTAGTGAAATTATTGGTTGCATTCAGCCGTATCCATTATCAAGGATAACAATGCATAAAATGGCCTTTGAATAATGAGTTGGCGTTATTTTAACTATAGTCTGTGATTTCTAATTGCATTGTTTCGCAGCAAAATGAAAATTAGAAACTATTAAAAACGTGTATCAAGTTACAAACACTATATTATAACAAAAATATTACGAGGTCATCGATTTTCTTCGTATCATTTATTCATGACGAACGAAATACAATACTTACTTACTAAAGGGAATACATGAAGAAACACGATGCATTATTTAAAACCAAAAAGGCATCTATGTTCAAGGAAAGAAAGTAAAATGCCTTTTCTATAAATTATATATACAAGCAATGAAAATAGATCTGAAGCTTAGGATTTTATTTGAAAAAAACTCTTCTTTTGATTAATCTTTCTTTGCTGAAGTTTTTATAGTTTTAGAAATTAAATCATTGTAATTTCCAAAAGTCTACAAAATAATTAATTGTATTTGCAAGCTGACAATTATTTCTCGGATAGGTTCAACGATCTTACTGTTAGTTTCTTATCATTCGATCGGTAGGAAAATTTTCTTGGGCGTGTCCAGGAATTTGCGGCACTTTCTGAAAAATTTACGTATCGATCATCGCGATCAATTGGCCGTGAAGGTGTCTGTTAAACATAATTTTCTCGTGAAGACATCACCGTCGTGAAGACAGAGAATTCATTCGAAATGCAGTGATGGGCATCGAAGCGCGTGTCTCTCATTAGAATTGAAAGTAGCCCGTTCATTTAGTCTTGTTTCTTCAATTATTATGCGATAACTAGCCGTCCCTCCTTTTCATTAAAAAAAAAAAATTGCTCGTGAGAATCCATTATGTAATAAAGTCAGGCGTAAAGTGTCTATCTTGTCAAAGACGGCTGCCTTATATAGATTTATTTCGTTTACAGCATCTTTTACATTTAATATTTTATAACAACCTGAGAAAAATCTACGATATTTAAAAAAAATAAAAATATTATTATAACGATGTATCAGGTTTTAAATAATAATAATAATAATAATAATTCAGTGCTAAATTACATATATATAATTCCCTTAAGAAAGAGATGAATGCATAACAAAATTGAATACATAATTTTTTTGACGTTCTCATCTTGGGTTGCCAAGACTCCAAAACGTTATTTTAAAGTCAAATCTTCTCGAGTGCTCCTTTTGGAAGTGCATACCCACCCACCCGTCTGGTCACGTGCGAAATGGAAATCTTCGAAAGTGAAACGAATGCGTCTGCGCTTCTGTCAAGCCGGCGAAGTCGATCGATAGGAGGGAAGCGAGGAACTCTCGACTTCACGGCGCTCTTTTATAAGAGCGAGTGCGTCATTTCGTCTCCACGCTTTCCTCTTCTTTTCGTTCGCGTGCCTCGTTTTCTCGCCGCTCTCGTTATACGTCGCATCCCGCGAACGCAAAACACGCGATGTCGTGTGTCTCCTTGCCATTTTCCCGCGATTTTTCTCGCCAAGTTCGCCTCGCGCGCGGAACGAGCGATCAGTCGCTGGGAATGCGCGACGAGCATCCGTTGCCTGTTGCTTTGTTTGTGAAACCTTGAGAGAATTAATACTGCAATTTTCGTCAAATATTGTGATTTTGAAAAAGATCGTACGTGGAAATCAGAAGTGAAAATGTTGAGTGTGCGTTAAAATCGTCTACGGTTTAACTTATATATAGTTAGAATTCTTTTGTGTTTTAGAAATTTACAATAAAAATTAGGGATAACAAATTTACTTATATTCACATGAATAATTTTTGGTGTTTTTCAAACTTACACTTTTAACTTCCACATTGTTGAAAGTATGTTTGCGCGCGCTTTTGGCGCAATCACGTTGCGAGATCACGAGTACATGAGATATACGTCGAAATATTTTAATTTGAGAACATCAGGTAATCGGAAAATACATTGTATTAAAGAACGAACACAATATTGGTATATTTTAATAAATAGAAAATATGAACATTTTTATCCATATTTTATCTATTTTTTTTATCTATTTTTATACTATATAATGTAGCTTTGAAGGGAAAACTAAATATTTTAACAAAACATGAAAATGGTATTTAAAAAAACATAATAAAAAATGGCATTATGAACATGTAAAACTCGTGAAATAATAACTGATGAGTTAATATTCGGAGGAAATAAGCGAAAAAAAAAACAGATTTAAGCGTATGCGCAGACATATTTTTGATTTAAAAAATGGCCTTTAAGATTTTTGAGCAATAAAATTTCACAAGTTTAATGAACAAGATTAAAATATCGTGCTTTTTACGAGTCAGAATAACAATGTATATCTATTCACTATTCTTATTTTTACGAGTTTAAAGAATACAAAATAGTGCGCTTTGCCTATTCACTACAATTTTAGATATCGGAATACTTACTAATATAAGAGATTATAAATAGCGGAAAATCGATTATTGGCAACAAGATAGAGTTGTATTATGCATCAAAAAATCTAACTCGTATTATTCTTCTTGTTCTCGACTCGTTTCCGAGACGAGTGAAATTTCAATTTGTATATATAATGCAGCAATTTTTGTCACATTGCAAAACAAAATTCGAATCGATATAATTTTCGTAAATTCAATTTTTGATACTATATAGATAAAGAAAAATCGGCTTTTTTACGGATCAGTTGACGCGAATTCAATTATCGCGAACGAACGTCGAGATTTTGCATTCTGAAATCCGAACTCGTTGAAATTACACCGAGGTTTCAATCACTGTCGTATAATGCATCGTCGATACGCAAATAGATCACGTGCGAAGTGTCGTTCAACGAAAGAAATATGATATCGTATTCATAGATCGATTGTACGCAACGTAAAAATAGTACAGAAGACATTGTATCGCACTATGCCGTTCTATATTTGACGTATTGTTAGATAAGAGGATAGCGGGAAAATATTAATATTTAATGTGTATTATTTTATCAAAAAATTAATTAATATTAATATAAATATTATATTTATATATTAATATTAATATAAATATAAATATAATATAATATAATATAAAAACTTAAAAAACCGATGTATTTATATAACGCAATCTTTTAAAATGTATAATATTATAAGAACGACTTTTTTTTTATAATATTTAAGATTTTAGAATTGTATAAAAAATTTTTGGCAGGGCAATTATACACAGCAAGTCGCAATTATATATGTATGTATGTATAATTTTAATTAGTGTATTTATAATAAATATAAAAATATTTTAGGCGATATATTTTTTACGAAAGTAAAAGAAAATGCGGGTATAAAACCAAGCCTATCAAATGTTGCGCTTACGTTGTTCTCACAAAATTTGTACGTAATAGTCCGGCCTCTCTGCATATTTTTTTATCAAAGTGCTATGATGACTTTTTTTTTAAAGATCTGGCAATTTAACGATAAAATATTATTCCTGTTTCAGTCTTATGTAGCAACCGGGTGAGCCAAATGACCAAAACCTATAATGACATAGAGGCAGTTACAAGGCTTCTAGAGGAGGTAAGTCTGATCGGCAGCTACAAGAGTTAGTAGAAACTAAACCCCGCGTCATGCATATCATTTTACGAGTTGTGATATATCTGTATCTGAGAATATTAATGAGACGTGACAAATCGATAAAATGTTACAAACCAATAAATCTATATATATAGCTAAACCATTAAAAATAACAATTAAATAACATATAATCGCACTTCGTGTGTGTAGAATGTATATTAAACTAATTAAAGTTTGTATTTAAAATTTGGGTCTAATTGTTACTTGAGATTTAAAAAAAGAAAACTTTTTACATCTTGCAAATTTAAAAATAGTTATTCAAATTCTTTAGACAACATTTATATTGAGATATTGAAAAAAAATACATTATTCTGTGGAAGAGAAAAAAAAATATATATATTTTTACAGAAAGAAAAAGACTTGGAGCTGACAGCGCGGATCGGCAAGGAACTGTTGGCACACAATCAGAAGCTTGAGACCACAGTAAACGCGTTAGAAGCTGAGCTCAAGGAAGCGAACGAGAAAATTACACAGTTGAATCATGAGGTGTTAAAGAAGACCGAGCTGATACAGATACTAACGAATGATGTGGACGAATCTAGCTCGGAGGCCGGAACTCCCACCGGCCTTCGTGGAATTAATTTGGAGATGCTCCAGAGGAAGGTCAGCTCTCTGGAGGATGAAAACAAACAGCTACGCAGCGAATTCGTTAAATTGGTGCGCGATACCGACAATTCCGAGGAAAAGGAGGCACGCCTCGTAAAAGACATTGCAGCACAATTAGGTGCATATTTCTGCATTTATTTCTATACGCAAACTTTTTATCATTTTTTGCATTTGATGCGTTGATCAATCTTTGGCACAAAATTTAACTCTTTACCAGACAATAAAATTGTATCGAGGAGTATATTAAAAAATTAGCTGAAAGCAGTTATTGATAATTTCATAATACTATTATTTTAGGCAAACTTTTTATGACTTAATTGTTTTTGAATAAAAGCAAGTGCCAACATGGAAGTGGACGTTTTATTTGTTAAAATTTTTTGCATTTGATGCGTTGATCAATCTTTTGGCACAAAATTTAATTCTTTACCAGACAATAAAATTGTATCGGAGAGTATATTCAAAAATTAGTTGAAAGCAGTTATTGATAATTTCGTAATATTATATTTTTGAGACAAACACTTTATGACTTAATTGTTTTTGAATAATAGCAAGTGCCAACATGGAGGTGGACGGAATAGCGGAGGAGCTCGGTCGCCAAAAGGAGAATCGCCTGCAACATGAGCAAATAGTCAGTCTCACAGCGAAATTAGCTGAGACGGAGCTTAGGCTCGCTCAGCTTATGGCGGAGCACGACGAGGTGGGAACGACTCTAGTCATTACTAGGGATAATCAAAATACACTTGCCAGTGAACTAGCCGAATTTAAGGAGCGATATGCAGAGGTATGTTTCTTGTTTTTGTAAATTAAATAAGACAGTTATTACATCTTTTTTTCTATACAATTAGTTATTCTTTTAAAATTTTACACGTGAAAAAAATTATTAGATCGTAGTATAAAAGATAAAAATAATTTTCACGATTAATGATTTAAAAGACCTTAATTATCATTTTTATGTCACTTGTCTAAACCTGTTGAAATGTTCTGAATGTCTCATGTTATTTATGTACACCAGGTGGTAAACCTTCTAGCTGAAACTCAAGAACAGTTGCGAAAACAAAGGAAACGCGGAATGCCGACAGTACGCGGTGGATCTCTGTTTCCATCGATGGGCGCGGCGCCTCAACCGGATTCTATCGCCTCGGAACTAGAGTCGTCCTTATATTCGGAATTGAGTCTCGACTCCGGAATCTGTGCGGGTGACAGAATGTACGTTATAAAATTTGTTGTTATTGTTCTTAGAATTAAAACTATTATTATATTAACAATACATTCTTATATATTATAATCATGAGAAATATAATAGTTTGAACATTTACTTAATAAACAATTATTATTTTGATTCTGTAGATCAACTTATAAGAAGGTATTCGAAACCGTTCGTAGCGCATCCCGAGCATCGTACGCGGGTATGGATCCAAATCAATTCCCTAGGTTAAGCTCTATGACGACGTCCACGTTATCCAGCAGTTCTGCTGGTCCACGGATGAGTTGTGGACAAATACGACCGCAGGTATCTACATATCCTAGCTTGGATTCTACCGGTCACAGTGATATGAAGGCTCTTTGCTGGCCGAGTCGGAAGATTATCCGTAAGTATCTATTTTTTATTTTTGTTTATTCGCGAACAAATTATATATAAATATATATATATATATAATAAATAATAAAAATATATATATAAAATATTATATATTATTTTTTATAACTAAAATGGTAAAATTCTCCATGATTTCAGAGGGCCGCAACGAACGGGTGTACCTGGTGCTCCTGGTGCAGCTGATCTGGAGGCCGCTTTGCGTCGTTTGACACCGGCCGAAGTATTGGCGAGGCGTGCATGTCTCAGTACAGGCGCGGTTACAATTATGATTACGATGGCGGCACGTTACATTCCCCGTCAACCTTTCTGCCGTTCGACTGTCGTACTCCCGATAGTATTATGTCGACCGGCAGCAGCGGTAATCTGAGCGGTTTTAGTGGCAATAGCGGCAACGCTTGGCGTATCCCACAGAAACTTCAGATAGTCAAACCGATGGAGGGCTCCCAGACGTTGCACCATTGGTCGCGATTAGCGACACCAACGTTGGGTGGATTGCTGGAGGACAGGCCAGGTGTGAAGACCAGGGGTGGTCGTGCTCTCGAGGATCTCGGTCTCCTTACGTTCACCCTGAGCGATTTAGAAGAGGACGAGGAATACACAAATCCTGGTAAACCTTTCCAGGATACCGGTTCCGTTTACACGTATACTAACAGCACTGTGATGCATCCGGACGATCATACCATTAGCAGCGTGACACCGAGTATCGTCGGCAGCCGCATCGCTACTGCACCTAACAGCGGTATGAATTCAGGTATGAACTCCGGTATGAACTCCGGTATTTACTCCTCGCACACACAGTCGACGCAATTCGACGTCGACGTTCTCCACCACGCTCGGACTAGCCAAGATGCTGAACGAAAGAGGGATCAAAGCTGTTACGCCTTCGTGCGTAGCTACGCCTACCGCCGACGTAATTTCTCGCCGACTGCTACACCGTGCAACAGTCCGGATGCGAGTTTGTCGCCTACGAGATCGTCGTCGCCGCCGCCATCACCGGAAAGCGGTGCTTCTCTGACGTTGGGTTTGCTCAGCAGTGGTGCGGAATTACTCAGGCGTACCTTTAGCTACGAGGTACCGCGCGGCGCAGTCTAAGAAGAAGAGACCAAAGTCAACGATTACGCGCTCCGATAAGAAGGCTCTCACGGGAATACGTCTGGTGGAGAAATTGGAAAGAATCGGAATTGATACGATTATGGCTACCACGTTGCTCGTCGATCTCGCCGCTAGCTCTACAAGGTGCTCTGTACACGCGTCGCTCGACTGGAGAGTCCATGGCACAATTGACTTTCCTCAAAACTTCCATGTCCTCCAGTACCAGCCAAGAGAAAATACTCCCTCGTCTCGTCCTTCACATCCTCCGCCAGTGATGATTTCCCATTGGACAAGTCGCCAGACAACAAGACAACAGTAAGGAGCCTGAATCTAGTGTGTCCGATTCCAGTTGGGCATTTCACTCGAGAGCATCGGGTCAATCGCCGGATCGACAACGACGATCGTGTGCTAGACGACGAGGCCCGATCTGGGACGAGTTAAAACCGCCAGTTTCAACGCCCGTTACTAAAGAATCTACTAAACAGTCGGCATTAGGAGCGATAAGCTCGCTTCTTTTTGGTCGCAAGGCGGTTTACTATGAATATTTTGTAGGGTCTGTATGAATGGATCGATCACTTCCAGCGAATTATTTTTAACAGAAATTTGCACAAGAATTATT